TGAGGAAGTGGGGAAGGGGATGTGGTAAGCAGAACCACTTCCTGCTATGGCTGTGTTGAAAACCAAGCTTCCCCCAAGTTCCCTTTGATGGGGGTTGGTGAGCCGGCTGCATGTATGTGTGGTGGGGGTGCTGGTAAAGGAGGAAGCTGGGGGCAGGGAGAAAAAGAGTTCTTTTCTGGATGGAATCCAAACCCGGAGTTCTGGGTGGGCACTCTCTCCCCAGTGGGTAAGAACCTGAAGACAAGCACGGCTGAGAAGTGGTAACCATCGCTCACACAGCGTGCCAGGCACCACTACAACTGGCCCACAGGGCAAGGACTGTTATTAGCACCATTTTACAGATGGGGAAAAAACGGTAGGTTCTGTCAATAGCTGGAGTCACACAATGAGCTGAAGATGAAATTCAGGCAGGCAAGTGTCAGCGTGGGAGCCCCTGCTGCCCTTCACACGCCCCCTCTGCCAAGTCCTGTGACTATGTTGGACCTCAGTTTTCTCATCTGCTTCATGAAGGAAATTAGAGTAGACAGGCACACCTCCACGTGCGGTGTTTGTATTTCTGCTGACTTTACCTCCCCCCCCCCCCCCAATTCTAACCGTCACAGCAATGCATACCTTTAACACCAGCATTCAGAAAGTAGAGACAAGCTGGTCTGTGAGTTTGAGGCCAGCCTGGTCTACACAGTGAGTTGCAGGTTGCCTCAAACCACAACAGCACACACACATACAAACACACACACACACACACACACACACATTGGAGGTTGTTCTAATGCTGGCCCTCAAGATCTGATCACACCTATCCTTGTTTTGTAAACCTGCCTAAAACACACCTGATTGGTTGATAAAACAGCCTCTACCTGGGCAGGGCAGAATGGGACAGACATGGCTAGGGTTCCCGGGGTTTTGTGGTCGAGAGAAAATCATGGGAAACAGATGGACAGGAAGAGAGGAAGAAGGAAGACACCAGGATGGCTTAGCATGGAGAATAAAAAAAAAAAAAAAAAAAAAAAAAAAAAAAAAAAAAAAAAAAA